TTAACTATTCAAATGAAATAATAACCGTACGACTCAACATTGCGTCCAAATATGCTAAAATATCATTGTAATACATAAAACAAATATACAATGGAGGAGATAATTACGTTCCGTCACGTGAGATCAGAAAAATATCTCATATAGAAGACACCATTTTTATGTGCTCACGGTCGTAAGGGTCTTAAAGAACAGTTTTTGATTTTCTCGTGCATTCTTTTTCAGCTTTTGTCCAATTTTTTTTTTTTTCCTTTTCATTTAACAAAAACAAATCCTATTCATCGACAATTCCTTTGATATTGCCGTTTGTGGACTTCTATGCCTGGTTTCAAGGAATGAATGACTCACATTGCTGCCAAGGTACAAAAAATACTCTTAAAGAACGTGAATATTTTTACTACTGGAAAAAACCAGGATAATCACTTAGAGGTAATATATTGACATTGTTATCGAAGTATTGCAGCAATAAAATTCCGAATAATGGACATGCATTACTTTGATTAATGGGCTAAAATGTGAAAACTTTTGGCGAAGACTGTGACAAATTATTAACATAGTGCAGACATAATGGCAGTGATAGCTGCATATAAGTTAGAATAAGCATAAACAGGCCCGGGTTTCAGGGTTTGGAATGAGATGAAGACCAATACCTGAGAGATAAGTAATATAACATTCATCATCATGTGTTCCCCCGTGTGGGTTCCGGGGTCCTATTATAGATAAAACAAACAAAAATAGACCCACTGCCCCCCCCCCCCCAAAGCATGTTGTAAGAATCGACTAATTGGGAGCTTCCTTCGAAGTTGGTATGCATCTGCCTGAGAGGCACGGAACCAGTAGTCTGCATACAAATTAGTCATATCTGTCAAACTGATGCACACGCAACATTCAGGTTCTGGAACAGGACTGCAGTTCAGAGGTGGACAAACAACCAGAACTTTCCGCCAGAGTTTACAGCCGGCGAACATGAGGAAGAAGAAGGTGATCATCATGTGTTATGGATACTGACGTATGCGACGACATTGTAACCCTACAACCCTGTGCTCATGAAAATTACATCTGCTCGGCGTTAGTGTTACTCTTCCAGTCATCATCATCATCATTATTATCATCATCATTATGGGGGGGGGGGGGGGGGCAAAGGTATATTTTAGAAACTCTGTATGAAATCCAGTCCAGCACGTCTGGTGTTCCATATCAACGTTCCTCGTTGAGTTTCTCGCTTTCTCAGACCGTTTGTTTCCCAGTTAGTATCTGTTTGGTACAAAGACCCCTTTAGTTAAAGTAGACAGTCATTTCAGCAAGTGAATACAGTTGAGTGAGGAAGTGCCACAGTTTTCTATAGAAAACGCCACAGCAGAAAGACAAAAATATCAGATCCACTGCTTTCAGTTGTCCCAGGACAACAATTCGGTAAAGAACAAACTTAGGCAGGGCAAGAGCTCTTGTACTATATATGCTAGTAACTCAAATTCCTCAATCCCCATCCCCTCCTTCAACACCACCCCTTTCTTTTCCGCAATATCAAGGCCCTTGTATTCACACAAGGTTCGACTCAAAGAGCCAGACACATGGGAAACGGTGGAACCTATATTATACACCACACGGGCAACACAGATACATTCTATAGCGCCAAGGATAGCATTTACCAACATAACAGCAGAGGCGAAAGCACTCCTTGTGGCTGTGCAGACTCTCAATAGTGGAGGGGAACTGAATAATAAAATGCAATACTCACAGACTGAAAGTCAGAGCTTAGTCATCTAATGCTTAAACAGGACGTCATCAATGAATTTGAAAGCAATCGGTTAAGTAGTTACCAAATTTAGATATAACAGAAAATTAACATTTTTATTAATATAGATTTGAGGTTGTGTTTCCATTGAAAGGATTCATTAATCTGCTTCAGGTTAATCAATTGTAACGGTGGGATGCCATGACGAGATACAGCTAAATATAGACAATAAATTGTGCAATCTTTTATTTGTGTCATCTCAACTGTAATCTACTATAGAGGAATCTTTTACAACTTTTTTTAATGCGTATCAAGAGGGACTAATGGTCATCATTATCATCATCACAAATCACTTCTGTCGGTAAGCGTCATGGGAAGGAATATATTTCGATCAAGTGCACAGAGGCTGGCACTAGCTTGTATGACCGCGTTAGCGCAGTCGATAGGAAACTCGCTTTCAAATCCAGCTGCGACTCGCTGCAGCCCACGGTCAGTGTTTGAAACCCGGCGGTTCCCGGGGTTCACCCAGCCTCTAGGAAATGAGTACCAGAGTTAACTCTCTGGGGTAAATGGAGAAACGTCGCTGTAGCTACAGAGTTGCGTGCGGACAGCGACACAGGCTGACAGTTTCTTATTAGCTGTCCGTACTGGTGGCAGAGCACTTATGGTATATAACCACGTGCATTGACGCTGGTTCACATCTCCCGACTTTACCTTTTTACTTTACTAGCTTTTATCCTGCCATAAAGGCGTAAAGTGTCTCTGTGTTGTTGATCTATGTTTTCGTGATGGTCCTCTTGCTCTTGTCGCTGATCTTCTGAGACGCCGTGCCTGTGATGGTATTTGATGTGACTGCATCCACCGTTGGATATTGCAGGAAAGTTGATGTGTTTGTCAGACACTGTAAATTATTGCTATTTCTTTTTTAAGTGAATCAAGTCACTGTTGAAAGAGGCTAAAGGTGCTGGACTAAATTTCATTAATAAAATTCAGTTGATTTCATAGGTTAGGACGGAATAGACAAATAGACCGAGAGACCACGTGACATAAAATAGCACAACTAGAAGTGTTTTTCTGTATCTATTCATTTTCTTCTACGGAATCTATGTAATCTACACAACTAAGTAATAAGGTACCCAGCTAATCTTAGTTTCAACGTCACAGTCACAGATGAATCCATAATTGCCCTGTTCCTGTACCAACGAAAATCACACACAATGCCCCCCGCTATACCTTACAAACAAAATTTCACTCGCAAATATTCGCACCAGGAACCATCAGTTTTGATACAACCAGTCACCCGCCATTTTCTGAAACTGTAGTTCATAACACAAATCACACTGTCCAGTTAAAAAAGGATTCCAAATAACCCTCAGCTTATAGTCTCTCTCTAATCACTCATTTCAGTAGCTTAGCGACGAAACTATATCTTTTCAGTCCATATATGGAGGAACATGCCATAGTTAATAGTTGTCAGAAGCACAAACTTGTTACGAATACAACAGTAAGCATCTTGTCAGCCATGCTGAACGAGAACTCGCATAAGTACTCGTGTTGTTTTTCAATTGCACAGTTCGTTTTTAAAATTTTCTTTACAATTATCTATGGGGCTATGTTGAAAAAGAGTGGAGACATGTGAGGTGCATTGACACGAATTGTTTAGAGAAAATAATTGTTATGTCACACTGTCCAGATGATAATCATCATCCTTATCATCATCATCATCAGCAGCAGCAGCAGTAGCAAGAGCATCATCCTGTTGTGCCATTTATACATTAGAGTCTATTCTTTGACTCCGCTATATTCTGTCACATGATTTCATGAGTGCAATACAGTTCAACACCTTTGGATTCTCACCAACGTTCACCTGATGGTTTTTCTAGAACATCTTGGTTTCTGAAGTCCATTAGTTGTCCATGTCATTGCCTGGTTGGCGTTACTCTGTTCGCTTCTTCTTAAAATGTGTCCATCATATTGCCACCTTCTCTGTCCCATTACTGATAATACTAGTGATTTTTAATTCATTTCTCTTATTTCTGCAGTTCTTGAGATAAAAAAGAGGTTTTTTTTTTTTTTGGGGGGGGGGGGGGGGGTGAACTGCTAAGAACGCAGTGTTTTCATTTAGGAGACACGTGTTGCAATCTGGTGTCAGATGATGCAATAATTTTTTTCAGGGATCAAAAGAAAAACATGAAACCTGCGGAGTGCGAGGTAACTGCTCTAACTATGCGGCTCTTAGTGTGCAAGCTCAGACCCCGCTTCCTCTGCAGTCCTACAAATTGGTCATTGTATGGAGGACAGAGCTCTTTTATTCAACTCGTTTAGTGTTTACCTAAATGTCTCGGGCAACTTTGATCGTAGTCAGCGTCTGTAGCTTAGGAGTTGCGAACGAGCTTCATAATTCCGGGATGCCAAGTTCGATCCCATCTGCATGCCTCACATTTTGCGTTGGTTTCGACAGTTGTATCGAGAGCTGACTTCACAGAAAGCAGTGGCAAACTATTAGAGGTACAATTTGCTTAATAAAACCCCAACAGACCAAACATGCTGGGATTAATTTTGCAACATCCTGTAAAGGATACGCAACTTACTTTTTAAAAAACTGTTATCGTATCCATTTAACTTTCCGTCCATGTCTTTTGTTGTTCTTCCCTTTCACTGTGATTTATTAAAACTTGGGGGGAAAGTCATAAGTAAAAGATACGTATTTTGGTTCGAAAACTAAACAATGGTTAACAGTTGTCAGATGCAAAAACTTATTACGAATACAACAGTCTATGTTTTATTCAGGCTTTTAAAAGATGACATTTTCTTGCCGGTGCAATTCAAACTCGTAATGGGGGAAAAGTTGAAGTTGCCTGCTACTGATATAGAACTGTAGAGTTCATCGCTGGTATGCGCGTCACATGAACCCTAATTATAACTCTTGATGGTGTCCTGTTGGTTTGTTGTCAGCCAGGATACGACCCCTGGCGTTGCAGGAGTGGAGAAATCATCCGAAAGCAGCCTAAAGGGGAAACAAATAGACAGTCTGATGATACAGATGCACACTTTCTCCAGATCTATTGTTGTACATTTTGTAAAGCATATTGCTCAGTACGTCTTATTTCAACGAGCCTTTTTATTTACGGACTCTCATTTCTTTTATAAATATATAGACACGTCATATTTTCTACCTGATAATTAAACTTTATTCTGGGTAAATTCTTTTAAAATCATTTTAATATGGTGATTAATACATAAAAGACACAAATTATGAGACAAAAACCTACCGTTGAAGATATTCAAGGACAGTGTGATTGGCTGGCAAATCAAAGCCATGAGCAGGTCCGCCAGTGAAAGGTTTGCGATCAGGTAGTAAGTCGCAGAGTGAAAACGCCTGTCCTTCAGAACAACGCACAATACAGTTATGTTGCCAATGACCGCACAGAAGAACACGGCACCATACATAATGGACAACACCACCAGCATGTAAACTGGCTGCTTGACCAAAGGAAAAAAGACTGTCTCGTTGCGGTGGTCATTCGTGTTACTGACCACCGTTTGGTTTACAAATACATTTTCAATTTCACTGACGTTGAGAACTAAATACACATTGAAGGGGTGACTTAGACCCAGTTGTATCTCCAGCTTGGACATGTTGGCCAGAGCTGTGTTTTATCTAGCTCTGTTGCTAACAGATTAAAAAAAAAAAACAACAACAATAGTATTCGCTTATAAAGACTGAAAAGTTATACTATATTTAAACGTCCTTGCCTTTCTCTCCGTTGAGTTTCCTGGTAAACGTTGATGTTATGTTCAGTTTTTGTTTAAAGCAAAATCTAAGCTTTATATCCATACCATTTTTCACTATCAGCTGCCACTGGAATAGTTCTTTAGGAGACTACACTTTAACTTTTCAAAGAACATTTGTGCGTTTATCGATTTGTTGTCACAGTTCCTTTCCTCTAGCCACGTGACATGTTTGGTACTTCTATGAACACGAATGCTTCAAGTTACAAAATGTGACTACTTCTGATAGGGACACACTTCCACAAGAAATTTACAATCACTGAATATCACAAATAAACGTAATTTAAAACAAGCTCAGTTATCGAAGCGTTAAATAATCTTACAAACAGCTACAAGACAAGGGTCCTATTTTTTAAAAAAAGAGCTTTTTGAGTCGAAAATTTGGTGCTGGTTTCCAAGTCTTTCGACAATAATTTAATTTTGTGATTAATATCAACTCTGCTGATTTTGTTCCATAGATTATAACTTAGTATGCAGTTTAAGATATGATGATCTAAACGTATAGGTGAATATATATATATATATATATATATATATATATATATATATATATATATATATATAAGGAACAAAAAACTACAGTCTGAGCTGCGATTCAAACACATGACTGTCACTCTGCAACTCTTACTCACTGCCCGATGATTAAACAATTACAAGTCAACAACTCCCTCGTATGTTTGTTGTTGTGGTCGTATTGGTGTTGCTGTTTTTGTTGGTACAGCTTCTGGCTCTGACTCAATCCCTGCAGAGGTTTACAAAGCTTGCGGAAAAACCCAGACAGATTTGTGATTTTTCAGTAAATTTGGCACACTGAAATCGTTCCACAAAAACTCAAGGACACATCAATAATACACCTCTACAAGCGGAAAGGGGGTCGCCAGGATTGCAACAATCACCGTGGCAGATCCTTGCTACCAATCTGGGGAACAATAGTCGCAAGAATACTTGTAAATCATCTGACGACAGATTTTGATGGAGGCCTGCTGCCTGAAAGCCAAAGTGGATTCAGAAAGAGCGCGAAACCATGGATATGGTGTTTCCCGAAAGGCAGTTGCAAGAAAAATACCAGGAACAGCAATGTGACATTCACGGCTCTCATTTACCTCACAAAAGCGCTGGGCTCAGTCTACAGAGAGGGTCTGTTGAAGACCATAGCAAAATATGGCTGCCCAAAGAAACTTATCATGATTATTCTGCAACAGCATAATAGAATGCTGGCAAAAATCAGCTCTATACAGTATCATGTTCCCAGCTATCCTGTTTGACGCTTTTCGACATTAAGAGGCAGGAATTGACATTTGCTATCGCATCGACGGAAAACTTTTCAAACTTAGGCGGCTGAAAGAGAAAACCAAAGTTACATCATGTATTATTAGGGATCTTTTGTTTGCTGACGACTGTGCTCTTAATGCCGGTTCAGAAGCAGATCTGCAGTATACATGGACAGATTCTTTTAGGCTTGTACCAATTTTAGGCTTACCATTAACACTGGGAAAACCGAAATTATGTACCAACCAGCACCAGGCAAAGTGTTCACTGAACCAACTATTCTGGTAAATGGTAAGAATTTAAGGCTGTGGTTAGATTCACTTACTTCGGTAGCACATTGTTTCAGAGTGTCATCGTCGACGATCTCTAAAGCCAGCTGCCTGGCATCGTAGTGGCATTAGTCTGCAAACTAAACTAGAGGTATACAGAGCTGTCGTGCTTCCAGTGCTACTGTATGCTTGTGAAACTTGGACTATTTACATATGTAAGGTTTAAAAAAAAAAAACGCAACCGCTTCAATATAGTGGCAAAACAAAGATAGGGCTGGCCACGGGAGAAGTCATGACGACTGAACACTAAATGTGAAAAAGTCACGAGAAACTAACAGCCACGTTGAAAGATGCAGGGAAACAAAACATGTGGACAGAGCATGCTCGGGACAGTCGTGAGTGGACTTGGGCATGAATTGTTAGCGACAAAGATCGTTGATTAAGAGGAAGAAAAAAGAGCTATGCGAAAGGACAGGATTTCATCAATGATATTAGATATAAAGAACCGTTCCCCTGAATCGTTACAAACTGACATCATAGCACTCAGGACATCCCAACAAGCGCTCCGTCTCTATTTTTGATAGCCAATGCAGACTTCTAATTCTGATAGTATCAGTAGCAGAACGGTTGCTTCTCGTCTTCCCAGAACCCGGCCAGTCTCCTCGGCACTACTCTCACAAGATTTTTATGATCTATTTGTATCTCTAAAATGTTATTTGGTTCCTAGAGGGCCTTAACCACATCTAGTTTGTCATGCTTCAATTTACCACCAAATGGTGCAGAACCAGCTAATCTTTCTGTCTCTTCGTTTCCCCTGCGCCTACAAGCCCTGGAGAAAATATCCGTATAACAAATGGATAACATCTTAGTCATCGATCAGCCTTCCCAGGCAGAGTAGCAACAGGCGAGCGGGGGGGGGGGGAAGGAGGGGCCCCGCACCGGGTGTCATCACTGAGGAGGCGACACATTGGTAAAGTTAATTGTTTTTAACATCAAAAATGTATGTGTGTGTGGCAGGAAAATGTCCTCACCAGGTACCACTTGACCTTGCAATGCCAATGTCTCTATGACAGAGCCTCTCTATCTGGCGGTATGACGATTCCAGTAACTTGCTCAAACATGCTTGAGTTGACAGGCGCTCTTTTTCCCCCAACTCTCTTGGTTTCTGCTCGCAAATTTCTACTCTTCTCTCCCCATTTCCTTCTTTTCTCTTCTTAGGCCTCTGTCACACGACAGATTTGAAATTCCCTCTGAATGGCCGCCACAAAGATCGGCTGCCTTAATAAGGGGGAACAGGAAGGGATGGGGAGGGGGAGGGGGAGGGGGACATTTAATTGAAAGATTAGGCAACTTAAAATTTGGCTGCAGAGAATTATAAATTAACTCCGACAGAAAAGCAAAAGCTATTGAATATATAGCATCCAATCAGTGACCTAATCTGAGACGCAAAAGCAGTTATTTTAGGAATCTATTAAAGACGGGCACTATATCAACCCTGTCCCCAAGTGGGATGAATTTTTCGTTAATTTGAAGCCCCACCCCGGCTGTAGTCAGGGGTCCTAATGTAACCTGACGTTTGAAAAGGGTGTCTGGGACCCTTTTACCGGTGATTCTTATCCGAATCTTAACACTTTATGTCACTGGGTATTTATCGCTCAGTGTGATGTCCTAGTGGGGTTAAAAGTCAGTCAGTCCAGACGGAAAGAAAGCAAAGATGGATTAAGAAGCAAGTCGGCGAAGACCTTTGGTTACCAGAAATGACCAGACATGCAGATTTAGTTTAAGATTGCAGAGAAAGGCTTTTCACCTGCATTGCCAACATAACAGCATGCATGGGTCAGAGGAACGTAGATATATGTATAGTAATGGATTGATGTATGAACAAGATTATAGCAGTCAAAGCAAAAGTGACGAACATGGCATCGGAGGAATGCCAGCTGACAATTCTTATATCTGCACAGGTTACTTGCATGTCCTTTGCAGTACCAACCCCATCAGCACCTGGCTGTTGTGTGGTTTCACTAGGCAAATTTACGTCCAGTAGTTTGCCATTATCTCCTGGACGGTCGGCTCCCTGATACCACTGTCGAAACCAACACAAGGCGTATGGCCCGCAGCTGGGATCGAACCCGGTACCCCGTCATTACGAAGCGTTCGCATTGACTTAGCCACAGAGCCGACGATATCTGCACAGTTTAGTCGGAATATGTCTGAGAGAAAGATTAATGCATCGGTACTTTTTTTTTAACATGTGGAATAAAAGACCGGAATATGCATTTTGCAAACTATACATGTTGTGTACCTGGATATATGTCAGGAAATTAATATGCATTACATGTCGCCAGGCATTGTGTTGGAATGAAATTACGTGGGTCACTCAGGATTCATAAATTATTGTGAATACAGATAATGTTTACCTATTATATCGTATTATGGCAATGTTTATTCGTGTATTTGTGCTTTGATCAAAGGATCAGTGTGCTTGTATAGTTTCATGAATGCATTTATAAGACAAATCCCTTGTCTATTAACTCTTAAATTAACTCTTAAATAAGCTGTGCTGTAGCTGTTTACTATACGTTTAAATAAAATGTTCATATCCTTTTTGAATTTGTATATCTTATGTAAGAGGGTAAACCTAGTGTTTATGCTTTAGATTCATGTCTTGACTCCATACATGGGTAAGACATGAGAAAACCCAACAGGATACTGTAGGAGAAATAATGTGTGGTGTAAAGACTGTATGTAACTCATCATTCAAGTGGAATGAATGGATTCTGATGCTTATTGTTAGAGTGGTGCTTGGAATCCTTTTTGTTTTTATCTTTTTGGTTAAGGTCATAAGCATATGTGAAGAATGATGGCATACAAGAAATATATGTTTATAGACATAGGTATAAGCGGAGATATCGGCCATACATGATGTATTAAAATATTATAATTGTACTGTATGTAGTATGATAACCAGCACAAACTGATGGGATATTTGCTTGATGCTGGGGGAATCTTTTTTGAGGGCCTGATCATGAGGGATAATTACCCTCTGTCATTGTGTTGATACTCTGTACACCTTATGAAGGTGTATCTCTGAAATCAGTAATCAGTATAGTGTATCTCTTGAGATTCCTGTCTTTACGGAGAAAAGTGGAAACGTTGTCCAACTGGGGAGGTTCTATCTTGTGATGAAGGTCTAAATATGCCGGTTAACTCAGCTTTAAACATGACCCAATGATTCATTTACTGTAATCCTAATAGCTCATAGAATGGATGTTTTATAGATTGTGTTAATTTGTTGCAAGCAGGAGTTTG